TGCTTCAGCCATCAATGTATCAGTCCTGTCCCTCCACCAACCATATGGTAAGGTGTAAGAAATCCAGTCAACTTAGAATGTTGAGTCTGAGACAAGGTGTAGAGCTGGATGAACACAGCAGGCCAAGCAGCATCAGAGGAGCAGGAAGGCTGACGTTTTGGGCCTAGACCCTTCTTCAGAAATGGAGGAGGGGAAGGGGATTCTGAAATAAATAGGGAGAGGGGGGAGGCGGATGGAAGATGGATAAAGGAGAAGATAGATGGAGAGGAGACAGACAGGTCAAAGAGGCGGGGATGGAGCCAGTAAAGGTGAGTGTAGGTGGGGAGTGAGGGAGGGAATACGTCAGTACAGGGAGGACGGACAGGTCAAGGGGGCGGGATGAGGCTAGTAGTTAGGAGATGGGGGTGGGGCTTGAGGTGGGAGGAGGGGATAGGTGGGAGGAAGGACAGGTTAGGGAGGCGGGGACGAGCTGGGCTGGTTTTGGGATGCGGTAGGGGGAGGGGAGATTTTTAAGCTGGTGAACTCCACATTGAGACCATTGGGCTGCAGGGTTCCCAAGCGAAATATGAGGTGCTGTTCCTGCAACCTTCGGTTTGCATCGTTGTGGCACTGCAGGAGGCCCAGGATGGACATGTCGTCTGAGGAGTGGGAGGGGGTGTTGAAATGGTTCGTGACTGGGAGGTGCAGTTGTTTATTGCGAACCGAGCGTAGGTGTTCCACAAAGCGGTCCCCAAGCCTCCGCTTGGTTTCCCTGATGTAGAGGAGGCCACATCTGGTTCCAGTTCCTACTATCTCCGAAACAATGATGAGTCTGAACTGTTTGTTACTTTGGAAACAAAAAGACACAAAATTGTGGCAGTGGGTTGTCTATGAATAAAAACCCAACACTTTGAATGAATTTACTGGCGTGTTAGATTGAAAAATTAACCTGAATTAATGCCAGAGAGAGGAAAATGGAATATCAGACTACAAGTGTCTTCCACACCAAAGCTCCAGTCCAGAATAAACTCGGAAGCTGACTGTAAAAACAAACCAAAAGAACTGCGGATACTGGAATTCAGAAACAAAAAGAGAAGTTGCTGGACTGGAAAATCTCAGCAGGTTTGGCAGCATCAGTGGAGAGAAATCAGAGTTAACGTTCTGGGTCCAGTGACTCTTCCTCAGAACTGATGGTAGCTAGGAAAATGTTGATTTTTGTGCAGAAGATAGGGTGGGGGAGAGGGGCAAGGTGTCAATGATAAGTGGGGGTAGAGCCCAAAGAGAGAGAAGAACAGTTGGACAGACAAAGGAGTGGGTAATGGTCAGCCTGGGAGAATAAATAGCTGTTAATGGGAACTATTAGAGGTTAACAATGGGTTGTCTGTAATGGCAGACCATGTGATAACAAAGCCTGGTATGTTGAGGTTGGGGCAAGGACTCGTGAGAAGGTGCCTCAAGCCCTAAAATTATTGAACTTGATATTGAGATAGTAAGAACTACTGATGCTGGAGTCAGAAATCACACAGCGTGGAGCTGGAGGAACACAGCAGTCCAGGCAGCATCAGAGGAGCAGGAAAGTTCAGAACTTCTGAAGAAGGGTCCCGACCCGAAACGTCAACTTTCCTGCTCCTCTGATGCTGCCTGAACTTGATATTGAGTCCAGAAGGCTATAGAGTTCCCAAGCAGAAAATGAGGTGTTGTTCTTCCAACTTGCACTGAGGTTCGCTGGAGCACTGCAACAAGCCTGAGATAGAGATGTTGTTCAGGGAACAGGGTGGTGTGTTGAAGGAAGCTGCTGATATTTTAGAACACATGAGTGAAGAGGAAAGGGTCAGCTCAACCCTTTTGGGAGGAAAGAGAGAAATGGTTACGTTTGTTTAACAGCCGGGAGCTGAGTGAAGACAACAGCAGAAACACGGACAATATTTTTGAAAGATTCCACGCATGTTTCCGGCCTGAGTGAAATCTTCTGATCAACCGATATGAGGCTGAAATCCTGATGCAGGAATCAGGTGAGCCTTCCTGACAAGGCTAAAAATGCTGCTTGAAAATGTAATGTCGCGGACATAATTGAAAGGTGACAGATCAGCTTTTCTGGGGCTCTGCACACCCTAAAGTACAGGAAGAGTTATTTGGAAAGGACGAACCCACAATACCACAGACTGTGTGATAGCACATGGAGCTGTGAATAGACAGACAAAGTCAAGAGAAAGGCAACAGAGTTGACGCTGCAAATCTGGAACAAAGGAATGAGCACTGGAGCAAAAAGATGTGCAAAATATATGGGCGACCACATAAATGCAGAGATGGAAGGCCTTCAGACTCAGTCCTCCTTCAAACTCAGGGAACTCATATTTTATGAAGTCCGACTGGCTGACCTCATTCCAAACACTACAGGAGCCTTGGACATTGAGGATGGAGGAGGTGAATGGACAAGTGGAGGTATGGACAAGGATGTTGCAGAAAAAATGGTCTGTGAGGAACACTGACCATTGTGTGGGGGGGGCAGGGGAGAGATGTACATGATAGCAGCCTCCTGCTGAAGGTGATGGAAATGGCAGAGGACGATACTCTGAATGCAGAGACTGGTGCCATGCAGCTGTGTAGACAGTCAAAAACAATCTGAAATATAAGTGGGGAGAGACCGTGCAAAGGGAGAAAGAAAACAGTCAAGAAAGGAAGAAATAGGTTCATTGGGACAGGGACCGGCTGGAGCGAAGGGTCAGTCCTGTGTATGGCTATTGTGAAGGAGGTAGAAGCGGGCTGTATGGGATTGAAGGGGAGGAGGGCTATGAGTTGGGAAGCTGTGGAGGGAAGATCTCCAGAGGAGATGAGGTCAGTGACAGTCCTGGGAACTACAGCCTGATGTTCAATGGCAGGGCCATGATCCAGGGAAAGATAGGAGGATGTGTCTGAGAGTTAGAGCCTAGTCTCTTCCAGGTAGAGGTCAGCATGCCAGACAATAACAGCAACCCTTTTTATTGGTATGGAGCTGGAAGATCACAGCAGGCCAGGCAGCATCAGGGGAGCAGGAAAGTTTACATTTTGGGTCTGGACCCTTCTTCAGAAATAGGCTCCTCTAATGCTGCCTGGCCTGCTGTGTTCCTCCAGCTCCACACTGTGTTATCTCTGACTCCAGCATCGGCAGTTCTTACTGACCCTCTTTATCAGCTGGTTTGATAATGAAGTCAGTGTTAGGCAAGTCAAGGGGAAGTTATAGTTATAGAGTCATACAGCATGGAAACAGACCCTTCAGTCCAACCAGTCCATGTTGACCATAATCCCAAACTAAACTAATCCCATCTGCCTCGTTTCCCTCAAAACATTTCTTGTTCATGTACTTATCGAAGTATCTTCTAAACGTTGTAACCGTGCCCGCATCCATCAGTTCCTCTAGAGGTTCATTCCACACACGAACCACTTTGTGTGTAAAAAAAAATTGCCTCTTGTGCCTTTTTAAAATCTTTCTCCTCTCATCTTAAAAATATGTCCCCTAGTCTCGAAATCCCCCACCCTGGGGAAAAGACATCTGCCATTCATCTTATCTATGCTCCTCATGATTTTATAAACCTTTATAAGGTCACCTCTCAATCTCCTACGCTCTAGTAAAAAAAGTGCCAGCTCATCCAGTGTTTCCTTATAACTCAAACCCTCCATTCCCAGAAACATGCTGGTAAATCTCAAAGTGCAAAGTGAGAACGAGTTCAATTCAGAACATGAATACTGCTCTACATTTTGATTTTAACAACCTCCCAGTCCCATGCACACACATACGCAGACACACACATAAGCACACACAAACACACACAAATGTACATGCGCGCACATGCAAGCACACACACGCATTCGCACACGCGTGCACACACATGCATGTGCACGCCATCCTCTGTGTCTTGCTTGTTGGCTATCTCTTTGCAAAGTTGTGCTGCTATTTTACATCTGAATCCCTCCTCTAGCACCATTATCACTCCCTCTGTCTTTTACTCTGAGTGCCCTCACTGTCTGCTCCAATCGCTTCTCCTGCCCCTTTTATAAAAACCATTTCATTCTGCCTCCTTCAATTCCTTGGACTCAAAACATTATCCCTGTTTCTCTTTCCACGGATGCTGCCAGAACTGCTGAGTTTCTCCAGCACTTCTGTTCTTGTTTCACACTTCTATCATTCACAGTATTTTGTTTCAGTCCCACCTTAAAGACAGTGCCCCTTTAAACTCAATATCTCTTTAAAGACAGTACCCCTTTAAACTCAGTATCGCTTTAAAGACAGT